TCCAACCTGACCTTTATACCTTTATACCGAACAGATTCGCACAATACAAAGAATTTCACTAAGACAAAAATTAACAAAAGAGCGGCAGCGTGCCAGACGGCCAGAACTTAACTGCCGATTATTTCTCACTTTTAACATCGTTAATAGTTCTGTATGAGAGATTTAATATTTGTGTTTATTATTCCGCACAAGTGCCACAATTTTCCATTCGGAGAGGCTAGACGATCTGAACAACGACCAGAACATCCCCATATACATTTACACCCTCTGTTCATATTATAAATGCTCTGATTTATTTCCAGTGGGAAATATTGAAGAATTTAGTCCTATTAAAATCCTCACGCACGAAAATTGAGAAACAGCGTAGAAGGTGCTAATACCTACAAGTTCCCTCCTAAATGCGTATCTGAAATTATAGTCATTATTATTGTAGATAACTTCGTATGATATGGATAGGCATAAGTGTAAATAAAATTTGAAACTTATATTGGAAAATGTAATGGAATCTCATATTGGACAAGGAATTGTAAATTTAAGTATCATCTTTGCTTAGAAATAACTTTAAACAAGTTATATAAAGTCTCTGATCATAAATGGAATTTAGTTTACAATCAATAACACAACATTTGTTTTTGTTTTTATTTGGAAGACAGATGACAGATGTAACTTTCATCTTGATACATCAGCAGTCTGTTAAACTTAATTCTACAATTTTTTTGTAGGATGAGGTTTTTTTTTTCTTTTAATTTTAATATCTTTTAATACAACACTGGCGCATTGGTACTACTTGTGGTACGTCTCTAATTGTGTTCAGAGATCTTGCTTAACAAAGAGAATAACAGTTTAAAAATGGAAAATGAAATGTAGTTCATGGTAAAGCAGAATCAACTCGGCTCCAAGTCAAGTCGGCCCCAAGTCAACTCGGCCACAAGTCTCAGCGTCTTGTTCCGCCGAAAAGTGATGATACAGCAGTACTAAAGCATGATACCGTAGGCTTATAATTAAAACTGACGGTCAGACCCGATAGACAGATTAAATTCCAACGACTAAATTACTGTATTTTCACTCTTTAAATGAAACTTTGTTTATAAAGCATTATTTTTATCCTGTGTGTTGCAAGCCACTCACTGTATAATTCAATTCAATTCGACATTTTTTTGATGCTAAGACATCAAGGGCTATCCGCCAAAACAACATATGTACAAAATTATGTTTAAAAAGTACATGCAAACTTACTCTGGGAACGCGCAACTCGATGAATTTAAAGCTAGACGAATAAAGTATACATTTTAGTCAGCTTATAAAGATGATCACTCGTAAAGGTGACAAAGTCCACCTCTGGCATCGCGATTTGTGTGTATGTTTTATCATGGTAATTAGTTATCGGACAGGAAGTAGCTAAATAAATGACTGGAACTCACTGTCCAATAAATACAAGTAGACGATCAAATTGTTTAAGCCTCTTAAGCTACTGACAATATTCTGTCATTTAAGCAAATAATATTAGGAAAACTCTAATTGTTTAAACTGAATTGAAATTGAAAAACGAATAAGGTAATTAAATAATTAATCAAATAATAAAACAATATGTTTTTCTTGCAAATCTTTTAAATCTTACACATACGTTTTTGTTGC